TACTCTTTGAGTGCGGTCAATAAACTAGTTTTTAAAGAATCTAAAGCACGGTCCTCTGAATCCCAGATTTCGGAGCTTATCGAGTAATGTGGCATCGAATGTTTTTGTTAGGTTTAAGATTATTGGCAGTACTATTTGGATGTTATCTAGTTTCTTATTCATAAATTCCGTCACGTCTTCCAGCGAGAGCGTCGTATTTTTCTGCTGTCGCAAGCCACATTGACAGCTGTTTATCAACGAGAACCTGTCGCAAAACGGGGTCATAAGAGGTAAACGACGTAAAAAGACAGCTTAAACTCAGATTCCCTCAAATGAACGTCACTTTCTTATGTTCCGTCTGATTTCTATCTTGCCAGCTTGATAATTTTTCGAATTCATTAACTACTTCCATGTACATGGAAATCTTAAAAGATACACAGAGGGCCAACAAAAATATATAACTTTTTCTGTGAGGCTTTAATTTAAACCATCCATTAAAACTGAAAAGTTAAGCTTTAAATCACGATTTATATTATTTTTATATTTGTTCCTACCCTGAAGTGAAGCGTGTGCATGCTCGACGCGATTAGTTAATGGGGAGGTCTTCGGACCAGATCTGTAGGCGAGGAGGAGAGACGTAGGCGAGGAGGAGCTCGACCACCTGTGCTCACTGAGAGAGTGGATCTCGAGAGTATGGAAGGCTCTCGAAGATTGTCAAGTTTATCAGCCCGATTTTAGCGCTGGTATCGCTTCATTCTAGGAACGACTATCGAGTGTACACAAGGTACGCGTTAAACTATCTGATGGCGAGCTCCGTGAATCTGGCCCCTGAAACATCAGTGTCGCTATAGTTTCGTGGCCCTTATACGTTTCCTGTCTGCAACACAATTTCCTAGCAATGTGCCATACTTTGTTTTGTAAGTCCAAAAGCAGTAAAACCATATCCATTGAGAAATGAGCCAATTTGGATTTCGTCACGAGGGTTTTATATTTTGATTATGATGGTGTGTTGATGGGCGTGCAAGCCTAAATACTCACGCCTGTCATATAAAAATTCACAAAAATACCTAATTTTTGTAAAGCATTGCACAAGCAATATTCACTCTTCGTTTTGTTCAGGTTTAGCATAACATGGCACAAACACGTATTCATATTTTAGAGTATCCCACGTGATTCTGTGTACGTTGCCAATAAGAAATTTTTCCAAATATGATAAGCGCACTTTTATATCAAGTACTCCATTTCATGCCTTTTTCGACATTTCTTGATGATGTGTCGCTGGGTGGTATTCTACCTGCAGTGGCCTGAATGCGGTCCCGTGGGGTAGGGTTCCTTGCGACGGCTGTGAGGGCCCCGGTGACGGCGGTGACGCATAAGTAGTTTGCAGACTAATGTAACTTGACCTTGGCTAGAAAAGCACCGTCGCGGTTATTCATTGTTTTCTTCAACCGTGAACCCGACGGCGACCGATGGTCATACCCATACAAACATGTTCTATGGTCGTCTATGGAAAATTATACACTCTAAGAAAAAGTGAGCACCCCCCGTCGTCATCATGCGTTTTGACGGCTGTAACGACCCCACAGGCTTACTTAACGACCCACTGGGCTCGAGCCATCGAGCGTTACTACCCTGTTCGCAGGTGACAAGCACGGGGTTGTCCCGTTTTATAAACTCTTGAATTGAACATTCAAGTGCATGCAGTCGTTCAATAGTAAAAGTCACTTCAAAAATCTCAAAAAGTACTTGAAACTGGTTTTCTTTGTGCCGTTGGTCACCATTTATTCAATTTTGAACCGGCCGAAACAGGCGTGTGGCTCACTTCGCCTAAACTAGCAGAAAACAAACAAGTACAGGCAACCTTGGTAGGCACCTACTAAAACACGAGACAGATAAGAAGTTTCGCGGTTGTCCTTCTTGCTTCCGTCGCGGGTTTTACCCAACGCTTGTTTTGTCAGTGGTTTTACGGTTTTACCGTGTACGTACTACAACAGAAAACAGCTGGCGGCTGGCGTCGTGCTCAAGGAATTTAACCAGATATCTAGCAAAGCACGGGAAGCTACGCACGGGCGTGAGTTGACTTGAATGTTCGCCGGAACGAGGTAAGGATACCCTTGTCGTCTTTTGTTGAGCGGTTCAGTAAAGAGCGTCTTCTCATTAAACTTGTGCTCGGTCAGTTCTGCGTGCAGATAAGTTGCAAATGGCCTCCTCGGTTTTGCCGAACTTCCACGCCTGTCATACCCATTATTTTTGCCTTCAAGTGCAGTGAAGTGTGAAGCATTGAACACCACGACTGAGGCCGGGCAGGACGAACGTACACAAATATCTGGGATCATGTCCGTGTATCTCAGTATTTCTCTGTCTCCAGATATAGGATTCGCCTTCACTGGCTCATTTGGCACATTTCATCGAGCATATTTGGTATGTGCTCAGAGTTTTGGGACGGTTGCACGACAAACAACATCCCAGCGTGAATGTTCGTTCAACCGGTCGTACGTTCAACAGGTCGTACGAGAAACTCCCACATGTCTGCCCCGCACATTAATCGAATTTCTCGAGGAGGTTCTATTGAGAAGAGTGCCCTATGTCGTGCACCTCGACCGAAAAGGGTGAACCAAATGCTCACGCCATTTCGGTCACCCTTTTCGGACGACCCGTGTGTCACTGGGGAGCGTCTTAACCCGCCTGCGTTCACGCCGCTTCGCGGCGATAGTGTGCGGCTAGTAATTACAAAACTATTAACCCACTTGATCAGCAGATTGTACAGGCACTGTAGGCAAAGGGAGTTTCCCACCGCAGGTTAGCGCAATTATTTATACTGCAGTGCTCGTCTCATTTCAAATGTGGACAGCATACCTCGAAAGGAACCATTTACTTTGCCATGTAACACTAATACAATAAGCATATTTACAGGCTCTGAATGGGCACTGGCTGTTTAAAATAATATGTCATAACGAAGACACACGTGTCCACCATTGTACAGGTCCAAGTGCTGATGTGAGGCCTCCAGTTCAGGACCCAGGGCCGGCCTTAGGGATGGGCGACCTGGGCAGTCGCCCAGGGCGCCATCAAAAGGGGGGCGCCGCCGCCCCCCCCCCCCCTTTTTTTCGAACCCTTTTTTTCTGATTTATTTGAACATGGCGCCCGACAGGACGCTATATGCTCAGTCGTCGTTCGTTTTTCGGAATCGGTTCTCGTCTGACAAAACGCTCGTGTTGGCCATACCACGGTGGGCCATACTCGCATGTTTACAAACAGCGTGATGTCGATAGCTAGGGGTATATAAAGAGGGAGTTAGGGGGGGGGGGGGGCGCCACGGTCGCAGTTTGCCCAGGGCGCTTGATGATGTAGGGCCGGCACTGTCAGGACCACATTTCGAGAGTTGAAGCACCCCTGTTTTGGTCACCTCATAGGCACAGATGTGTTGGTGAAAACAGTTTGTAGCAAGTCTCTCAAGCAGTAGGAAAGCATCATTCTTTAAGACATAAATGTTCCGTACCTGTGCAAACTGGGGGACTTCTCCGGTACCTACCACCAGAATGTCTTCTACCCTGTAGCCTCCGGCGTCTAGAAACACGTTTTTTGCTTCCAAGAGATCTGCTTTGCACTCCAAGCTTTGGGCAGCAGCTGGCAAGCTAGCTTTGTCAACAGCTCGGACACACAGCATTCTCGGGCATAGAGGGAACTTGGGAGAGTTCATTTTGTAGCTCTGCAGGAGTTGGTGCCGAGTCGCAAAAGTTTTGCAAATGTTGATGAAATTTTTTACTTTTGAAGTCATGGACTTAAAGTACTGGTGCTTCGCCCCTTGGACCAGTACTGACGCAGTGGTCCAAGGGCCGCAGTCATTCTTCCATAGTGCACCATGTAGTGCATCTTTGGGAGGACTTTAGCCAAATCAGTGAACTCTCAGTTTGCCCTTTTTTATGTTTGTGTGTCTGCGCACTATTCATGTTCGACGAGGGTGGCATTGATGTGTCCGCATAAAGGATAAAATCGATTTCTTGGCAATAAAGTGAGAATCACCAGCACTGCGGATCTAGGTAAAAACATTTGGATGTTGCAAAGGCCCTGTACAAGCAAACAATCAGTACAATTATGAAGAACAAGGGAATCGAACAGAAGCATGTCTCTGGTGACATCTGCGGAAAACACTTGCGACTCTGTGAGGCTAGCTACCTGGCCGTGTGTTGCGATGGTCCCTTTGTTGTGACTGTGAGGCGCATTCGCGCTGAGCATTCCTGTAAATGGATTGCTCCTGAGAAAGCGTGCTGAAGAGCTTGCTGTGATTTTTGGCCTTGGCCTTGTCAATTTCAGGGAGGGCTGACTTGGTCTGTTTAAAATCCGACACAATGTTATCTAATGCAAATCTACGGAAGAGCTGTTATCGTTAACGAAGGCGTCGTCTCCGAGTAGCAGACAAAGTAGTTGCCTTAAATCCTGGCCAGATACGAATATAGAAACATAATCAGTGAGTACGAAGATGGATCGGTTACACAGCTAAACCAAGTAAAATGTACACTCCTGCATATAGTTAAGATCCAGTGAAAAGTTACTGCATGTTCACTCAGACAATCCCAGCAGCCTCTCATCACACTGTTCTTTCTGAAAGATTTGCAAATAAAGCTTCATGAGGTTGCGCTGTAAGAAATTATCCATTTCTGCTCCTCCCCGTTTTGGATACAGCATAGTTTGGATACAAGGGGGATGTTTTGCGCTAGGTCATGTTAGTCCGTTGTAATGGATTTTGTCTGTATGACCAACTACACTCCATTTCATACTTAAGCTACAATGTTGCCAAGGCTAGTAGCACGAGAGCTTGACTTTGTCTAGCGTCTCATTTGCATGTGGTCGCATGCGAATGAGGTACTAGACAAAGCCATGTGCTTGCACAACTAGCCATGGCAGCATTTTAGCTTAACTATGAAACGGAGTATAGCAGCAGTCATGTTCCACGTCTGTTGAGGTCTTCACTTCACAACCTGACGTGTTAGCTGCCACTAGCTGTAGCATTTTCTTGAACCATGACAAGTTATCACAATGCCCTTGCTGTACAGCTCAATGGCTGGTTGATTATGGAGGCTGTGAACATGATGACCTTCACAGTAATATACGGTTCAGATTGTTTTTAGGATTCTTACGCTATTTATACATTTAGGTAGAATGATCCAAAAATATTTCAGTGGGAGACATCGATTCCTAATCATTTTGTTTCACGTCTTATAAAAGGCTAGTATAGTCACAACTTGTCTACATATGCCAGTAACTCGGCAGTAATGTAAGTTTCGGCATCAAACAGAGAAATAGGATTAATGTTAATGTGCAGCTGAGGAAACTATTATGCAAAACTCCAAATATTGCAAGAAGTCAAAGCTAGATGGTTGAAATAATAGTACTAAAATATATCATTTAGGTAACGCATCTTGTATCTCCGAGAGCAAAAAAGCATGAATAGCCTTAATTTTCATGCTATGTTATTGGAAAAAAATCTTTATGAATGTTTTTGCTATGATTTTGACATATTTTGAATAAGTTGAGCAAAGTTTATTATTACAGATTCAGCAGGAGTTCCGAGGCCAGACAGGGAGAGATGCCCAGGAGGGTCTCACAGCCTTCCTTGAGAGAAGCACCAAGGCCCTCTATGAGCTTTTCCGTATGAAGTCATCATCAAAACAAAAGGAAAAACAAATATTGGAAGCCGCCGAGAACTGCCCAGAAGAGGGTAAAAGTAAGTAGCTGAAGAAAAAGTGCTATACCTCTGCATTAATTTTGTTTACAGGCAGAAATATTTTCTACCCTTCCTTATTTGCCTATGTGTGCCAACAGAACCAGCTGTTGTGATGCTGCTTACATTATAGCTAGGGCTCCGTGTTTTCGAATAAATCCGAAAACCTCCGAAAAACACCCACCGGTAAAATTTCGGTCAATTCGGATTTATCCGATAAACTCCAAATGTTTATGTGCCCATGCCACCTCCCCCCCCCCCCTCCGCAAAAAAAAAAAATGTAAAAAGAAGTGAGACATATTTTTTTTTTTACAATTTGATTAGCACGGAGGTAATGGTCCTGAGAAACTGGCACCATAATTATCTTCCAAATCTCGGACCGTTGTGAAAAGGGGTCTTGCCGCTTCTTTCGTCGAGATTGGTTCAGGGCAGCAGGTCATCGTACATTCGGGTCACGACAAAACCCAATCTTTTGGTTTCCATTTTGAGCCAAGCGATTTGTGACTTAGAGAAAGCAGAAGGTATGCTTTTCTAACAGTGAAAGCCATGCACCATAGAGATTCTATTAAATAGAGAAACGGAACAGTTGAAACTTTCTATTACCTCCTTAACCACTCCACCTCCCGCGGCCGCGGGCTAGATTGATGGAATAAGATGGGATGACTACGAGCTTCGTAATGACTGCCCCCGGGAGCTTATTGATTTTTGAGGTATCGACGTTTATCGAAGCAACACTTTTGTAGTGGGATAAATTAATATTGCCAATGGCAATGGCACGAACGTCAAATTCATCTGAAGCAATTTTAATCGGTACAAGCGCGTTTTATTGTTTATCTGGCATACGTTTACATCCGGTTATTATTTACATGTTTATGTTGAATAGGAAACACTGCGAAATTAAACTCCGAATTTCGGAGAATTGGGAATCAACCAAATATAAACTCCGATAAACTCAGAATCTTCGGCAAAAAATAAACTCCGAAAAACACCCTCCGAATTTGACGAAAAATAAACTCCGAAAACACGGAGCCCTAATTATAGCCTATGGCTCGAGCAGAACTTTTTTCAGCAATGGGGTGTATCTAAGCTCAGCTTGGGACCTATGCATTCTGGAAACAGTGCCATCTTTGTGTCCGCGAAACCAGACAACTGTGCTTGTACAGCCCCCCTGCCCAGTGACTCTTGCATGCAATACCACGCACAAGTGACAGCGACGGATGCTCTATGCAGTTGCGGTGGTGCGGTGCAGTGTATAGTCTAGACAATGTTACGATGCTGTCTACGGCACGGGTTTCTCCATTGCTGGGCCCCTATGATGGACAGTGGAAAAGAATGCACAGGCTATGAGGAGAAGGTGGAAATCTGCGGCGTGAATCCGTTCGCTCCACAGCCGCACGTCCAAGAGCTTAGCTATGGCCACTGGGGGAAATTACTGACATCTCGGATTCCCTCCTGAAGACAGATTTTGTCACACTCAACCGAGTATTTTAAGGGGTCCAGGAGCCGTTGATGAAAGCAGCGAGTGCAGAGAGAGCGATTGTCGTCTCACAAGTGTGGTAGACTTAAGATATTCGCGTAATTCTGGAGCACGTCTGCACCTTTGCTTGATTCACTTTTAGAAGGCTAATCATTCTCCTTAAGAACTGTACAGCACGCTGTAAAGTGATACTGTGAATTGTTGGCGCCATGCGAGCAACACGAGGTTCGAGTACGGGCTGTTGCTTGTCACTGGCAAGCAACGGCGCCCGAAAGCTTTGAGGTTGCTGCGACTCAAAAGACGAAAACATGCTCAAGAATGGTATAATTTCTTTCAAGGCCAATTTTCCGCCTCCTCCGGTAGGAAGCTTACGTTTGGGTCTTCTCTTGGGAGTCCTTTATAGCGGCTGAACTTGACCAGTACAATAGGCCTAGCCCTCTTGAGATGTCGACATGTCAAAAGAAATAATGTCTGCCAAAAACAAGAAGTGCCACAGACGTACTTGAAAACAAGTGCCACGAGTTCAGTCTACTTCGCCAGATCAAAGAATGATTAAACTTGTAAAAGTAAATATTCGTAGGTCTACTTTACCTGCGAGACGGCGATCGCGCTTTCCGCAATTACTGCTTTCATCGACAGTGCCTAAACCCATTAGCCTGTAGTTACCGGCATTTAAGACTTCCTTGCACATAACAAAACTTGTTGTTAACATCAAGTACAGTGCTACCCACTTAAGATACGACTAGGCTGGAAATGATCAGTTTCTCATCGTTTGAAGTGGGTTGCACTGAAGTCCTGGATGTCAGTCATTTCCACCCGCGTCTGCCACCTGTTGTCTTGGATGAGGCCATTCGGCGACAGACCGATGGGATCCACGCTGCAGATTTTCATCTTCTCGTAGTGTACATGTTCCTGTTGGCTGTCTGCCATAAGGGCCCAACGGTGGAGAACTACTTTCCGAAGGCAACATCATAATGTTGCCGCAACTGTCCACTGCACTGTAACAACACAACTGCGTAAAGCGTCCGTCGTTTGTGCATGGTGTTGGCAGAGAAATCGTTGGGCAGTGCAGGTGTGGCGGTGTGGTTGTCTGCTCTCGCGGACACAAAGGCGGCACTGTTCCCAAGACTCGCGTGAATACATACTATAGGTTGACATGCCAAAGCTAAAACGAAGTAATGTAGTGAACACCTGGTAAAGGTTCTAGATAGTATATTGTGATTGTATAACCATGGCAACATTTGATTGCAAAACATTATTTTCCAAGATGTTATTTTTCTTTTTTTTTCTCCAGCTCTCCTTGCCAACGGTGCCCTGATCTTGCTGCCATGCTTGCTGAAGGAAAGAAGCAACAACCTCGTGAAGAGCCTAGTATGAATTGCTCGGCATGCCTATTTCAATTAAAATAGATATTTATTATTAGAGAGAAAAGCCCATTAGGATATTAATGTCAAATAACTGGGAAAGTGGAAAGTGATAAAACTTGTTTATTAATTTCAAATAATAACAAAAGGGTTCACAGGTATATAATGCACAGAGCACGACAGTTTGTGAATGAGTGATGCGCCAGTATTTTCTTTTTTTTCTTACGGAACTGGAAAGCTGTAATCAGAACAATTACTGTGGTGAAAAGTGATAATGAATGCAAAATTTGTCGTCAGCTTAAATGAGAATAAGGTGCAAAACAGGGGTGCTGTTGTGCTTGCAGCAATAGATCTTTTCCACATACCAACGGCATCAGGCGGTGGCTGCACGAACTAAAAATCAAGGAAGTGAAGTACCTGCGCTACCAATCTATAATGGGAGCCACGCTACCAGTTTTTTTTGCTCTCTGAGCAGCGGCGCATGCCCAATGCAACTTTAAAGGGCATCCGTGGCGTCCACCCAAGTGTTGCGTTTATCTTTCTGTCCACTTTCTTTTTCTGTGTAACACAATTATAAATATGCTGCAATTACGTGCTCTACTCGCTGATCCACCGCCTCCTTCTGAATTTTCTCAATTTTTCGTGCAGTCTTTTGCTGCTTGGCATTGGGCGCTCGCACGTGCGCAGAATGCTTCTCGAAAAAGGTCCATTATGTCGCACCAGGCGCATATTTATTTTGGGGAGAAGAAATCCTACTTTCTCATACCAACAAAAAAGCTAATCTCTAACATTGTAAACCCTGATGTTTGGGGAGTATGGGATGAAAAACAAATGCAGAGCTCCTCCCGAGTGTTGTGATGTAAAACACTACAACAATTGAAGAAATAGTACTTTTTCGCATTTATAGGTACCCTCAGAAAAAGCTTCCAACCTGAAACAAGTGATATGCTTGAGTGAACTGGGTAGATCAGTTGTATAATTATGGTAGTTAATATTTAAAACGAACTGGGTTTTATTTACTGCGAAATGCGAGCATCTACCCATTCCACAATAAGTGTCTCGCAATTTTGTAACATTTCGAAAATATGCAAAGGCAAGTCCTTTGCATATTGAGGACCTCAGAAGCACCCATCCCCCAATTTTTCGTGATTATCCTCGAATTTTGAGTGGGCGCTTGCTCGGGACTACAATACACATTGCAAATATTTTTTTTTTTCCTTTCGAAACTTGAGGATTAATCCAGCAAGTTTATATGGATACATACAACCTTTTGTGCTTAATCATTTACTTCAAAATACACTGCAGTGTGGGACTGTTTCCAAAACTCTACTCTTGCGAAAAATATGTGACGACATAACATACTGAACAATTACCAGGTTGTCTGTAAAGACCTTGTGAGGAATTGTTTTAATGTCATTTGTCTTGCCGAAACAGCAAGTTTTGATTTGCATATTTTTCCCAAAATGTCTGGATAAACTTTAAAAGCACGTTAGCCCAACAGCATTACCAAATTGAAAGAAGTGTAAGTTTTACTTTTAATAAGAATGAAATGACTCGGGAAAGTTTTTAATTGTGCAGCGATTTGCATGTTGGTATTTTTATCGAAATGGCCTTTGTCCTTGTCACAAGAGCCGGGCGCCCAGTACATGAACCCAAGTATTCTGTACACTGGTGAGGACGTGCTCACATCTTCAGTGTATGCGGTCACAGTCGAAGGTTTGACCATTGATGCTGCAAGCCTTACACAAGCAGTGTCGTTGTTGATGTGCCTGTTCTGGGCTTTTAGCATCAAATACTCTGCTGAAATCAAAAATAAACTCACCCTTCTTGAGCATGCCATCGGGGTTTCGCACACAAAAATGGGCACACTTGCATTGCAAGTCTGGAGCTCCGTGTGATTCAAGACCTGCTTTCGTTAACTTATAGTAAAGGTTGTTCATAGTGTACCATGTGTGCAGTGCCTTACAAAGACTTGTTTTTCAGTTGAACATCGTTTTAAAACTAAATCACATTACTTGATGCTATTTGTTTTTAAACGAAAGCCGTGCGATTTAAATCTGTACTGTATATTTTGAAAATAAACACATTAAAAACGGTGGTGGTTTTTATTGGAACAGGCATCATCTTGTGTATTTTTTTAGAAATTTAGAAAGTTTGCTCAT